GCGTTCGCGTCCTCACCTTCGAGAATGCTTAGAACAAAAATTCACCATCTCAGAAACACTCTTCACGAACACGAAGCCCTTCTCGCGAACGCGTAAGAGGAAACTAGAACCAAAATACAGCAATAGATCAGCTATCTCACCAAGGCCAAAAATGACTCGTTAACCACCCGAAACTCACCCGAGTGCCTCGGGACCTCAACCAAACATGCTGACAAGTCATATAACTCCATCTGAACTTAGTTGAACCTTCGAATCACTCAAAACAACATCAAAATACCAAATTACCCTCGGATTCAAGCCTCAGAACTTCTAGACTTTCAAATTTCACCAATGATGTCGAAACATGCTAAACCACGTCCGAATGACCTCAAATTTTACACACAAGTCAAAAATAAAACCACAAACCTATTCCAATTTTCGAAATTCTATTCCGACCTCGACATCAAAATTTTCACTACCGACCAAAATCTCCAAAATTCTAACTTTCGCCAATTCAAACCTAATTTTACCACGGGCCTCCAAATTTCGTTCCAAACGCGCTCCCAAGTCCAAAATCACCTAACGGAGTTAACGAAACTATTAAAATTCAAATCCAAAGTCGTTTACATATAAGTCAATATCCGGTTGACTTTTCCAACTTAAGCTTCTGCTTTAGAGACTAAATGTCTCAATTCACTCTGAAACCACTCCGGACCCAAACCAATTAACTCGATATATCATATTATAGCTAAAAAGCACAAAAGGAAGCAGAAATAGGGAAAACGGGGCTATAACTCTCGAAACGACCGGCCGGATCGTTACATAGTCACATACTACGCTAATGTTAATCATATAAGTTAACCTACATTTCCTACTCTACAAAAATCATAAATACTCTAAATATGAATGCTAACGGATGGATTGAAGAGGATTTCTATCCATGGTTTAGGATGAAAGTGCCCAGATCGTACATCAAGCGCGATGATCTGGTAAATTCACTTTTTTTCTTTTTTTAGTTTACATGATATGATTTTTTACCCTATCTTTCCATTACATTTGTGCAGTACCTTCCAAAGAGTATCTGTGACTATCTTCCTCCTAGTTCAATTAAAACAATACATTAATATAATGGGAAGGAGTGGAATGTGACTCTAACAGGTGTTGTTTGAAGAAGACTCGTTAAGGGGTGGAAATAATTTATTGTCGACAGCAATCTGAAGAAAGGAAGTGTTCTTCTTTTTGAACTTGCTGAGGCTACATCAACGGCTGTGATATTCGTTGTTGAAGTGCTAGGAACATCTAATGCTTAGCTTTTTCAATTTTTTTCATTAAGGTTATGTAGTGACTGTGTTCTACCCTTGTCATTAAAATATTTATGGATTAATATGATTTTCTTATAATATTGTTTGTTATTTTTCCTTGTATTATTGTTATACTTATTTATTTTAAGAAGACTGGAAATATTGTCTGTGATTTTTGCTTGTTATACTTTTTTTATGTTTATGAAAATTATTTTATACATTTAGTATAAGGAAGAAAATGACTAAAATCTAAACTACTGGGAAGATGACTGGAAATTACAAGTCCTCCTCTTCTTTCGGATATAATAGAACCTAAAACAAGAGTGTGAAACATTAAAAAATTTAAAAAAAACTCTTAAAAATCTTAATACAATTTGGTCATAGAGAATTGGAAAAGTCATCACAAATAACGAAAAATTATAATAATTAGTGATTTTAAGTATTGGAGACCGAAATATTAAATACAATTCAATCACCTCTAGACTCTTCGGATCAAAACAAAAGGGAAAGAACAATTTTCCAAAAAAAAATGTTGCAGCCAAGTTTTGAACCTTGGCAGCGTATGAAAGGGAAAGAACTTAGAGAGTTGATCAACTAGAGGGTCTATCGGCATTTCTGATTGGAGCATTTCTGATTGGATTCAATATTACAAATACCTTTATTAGTGAGTTGATAAAAAAAAAAGAATGTGGGTACTTGTTTCGAACCCAGGCAGCAAAGGTTTAGAGTTCAACACGATAAAATTTTGGCATCGAACAAATGCTTTCTGCACTCTCTTTATTAGAACAATTTTATTTCAAGTATTGAAGTTAGAATACAACGTAACTAATCCAAAATCATGGGGAGAGATAGCAAAAATAATGCAGTAGCTAATATGCCATTAAAACCAAACAAACACTATAAGAAAAAATGATATGTTTAAGTTTCATAAATCATTAAACAACAAACTTTATACAAAACAAGCAAAATTTCTTCAAAATCAAAAACATCCTGGATCAAATAAAACAACAATGCAATTAGGCCCATTGAGAACTCCAAGTTTCAGCAATATTCTTTATCAAATATTATAGTTCCAAGTCTGGTTCGGTATTGTAACGACCCGGCCGGTCGTTTCGAGAGTTATAGCCCTGTTTCCCCCATTTCTACTTCTTTTGTGCTTTACAACTGTATTATGTCCTACCGGGTTGGTTGGTTTGGGTCCAGAGTGATTTCGGAGTGAATTGAGATACTTAGTCTCTTAATTGGAAACTTAAGTTGGAAAAAGATGACCGGATGTCGACTTGTGTGTAAATAAACTCGGATTTGAATTTTGATGGTTCTGTTAGCTCCGTTAGAGATTTTGGACTTAGGAGCGTGTCCGAAATATAATTTGGAGGTCCGTAGTAGAATTAGGCTTGAATTGGCAAAAATTAGAATTTTGGCATTTTGGCCGGCAGTGGAAATTTTGATATCGGGGTCGGATTGGATTTTCGGAAATTGGATTAGGTTCGTGGTGTCATTTTTGACTTGTGTGTAAAATTTGAGGTCAATTGGACGTGGTTTGGTAGGTTTCGGCGTCGTTGTGGAATTCTGAAGTTTAGAAGTTCTTTAGGCTTGAATCCGGGTGTAATTTGGTGTTTTGATATTGTTTTGAGGGATTCGAAGGTTCGACTAAGTTCGTATCGGTTTATCGGACTTGTTGGTATAATTGGTTGAGGTCCCGGAGGCCTTGGGGTGATTTCGGGTGGTTAACGGCCTAAAGGGAGTTAAGGAAATGCAGTTGAAGCTGCTGCTACAGGTGTAACCGCAGGTGCGAGTATGCAGAAGCGAAGAAGAGCCGCAGATGCAGCCAAGAAGGAGTTGGGCAGGAGCCGCAGGTGCGAAGATTTTTCCGCACCTGCGAGGGTTGCAGATGCGGGCAGCTGGGCATAGGTCCGAAGGATGGTCGCAGGTGCGATGAATTCCCTCACCTGCGATACGCGCAGATGCGGTCTTGGGGCCGCAGGAGCGAGGTTAGGACTTTTAAGTGAAATCCGCACCTGCGATGGAATTTTCGCAGGTGCGGCGTCGCAGAAGTGACAAGAGGACCGTATGTGCGATATTTCTGGGCAGAAAAACATCAGCTCGAGGGTTGGACTTTGATTTTCGATTTTGGACTTGAGAAGCTCGGGAGAGAGGCGATTTTTCGAGGATTTTCAAGAAAAATATTGGGGTAAGTAATTCTAACCCGGATTGGTCTAAATTTCGTGAATCTATGGCTTTCTCTATCATCTAATTAAGTATTTGAGTTGTAAATTTGGGGGAAAATGGTAGAAACTTCACATGCTAAATTTTGAGTTTTGGAAGATAATTCGAGTAATTCTTGTATGGTTGAACTCGTGAGTGGACTGGTGTTCATATTTTGTGACTTTTATCAGATTTCAAGACGTGGGCCCCGGGGGGGTTGAGCCGATTTCGGCTTTTGGGCTATATTTTAGTAGTTTTCTTGTAGAATTGATCCTTTTAGCCAATATTGATTATCTCGTACTTCTTATGGCTAGATTCGGGGCGTTTGGAGATTGATTCGAGAGGCAAGGGCATTTTAGAGTAGGATTTCTACGTTATTGAGGAAAGTAACAGTTTTAAATCTGGTTTTGAGGATATGAAACCCCGAGGATTGGTATGATGTGAGTGTTTGGAGGTGGCGGGTGTATGAGCGTGCACCGTGAGGGATTGTGACTTGGTCCGTCCCGTGAGACTGTAAAGTCGAATAGCCATTGTTATTACTTATTTTTCCTTGTCTTTGAGCAATTGACTGCCTTTTATGTTAGAAACCATGCTTAGGCCAGATTCGGGTCTTTGAGCAATTGACTGCTAATTGCTGTCTTGTACTCAGTCACAGTCCTATGTGTGTGTTATATCTTTGTTCCCTCTCATTTCTTGTTGATACTTGTTGTATTCTCTGTTTGGGCTGGTTATTATGATATTCTGTGAGCCCAAGGGGCTGGAAAGGTTAGTGACTGAGATAGGGCCTGAGTGTCGAGCTGTGAACTATGTAAGGGTATATGGATCGGATTGCACGCCGTAACGAGTCTTGTGGCTATTTATGGACTGTGGATTGGGTTGCATGTCGCAACGAGCCTTATGGCTACTTATATGATTGGATCGGGTTGCACGCCGCAACGATATAGCGCTTGGGCTGGAAGGAGCCCCTCTGGAGTCTGTACACCCCCAGTGAGCACAAGTACCTATTGAGAGTGTGTATTGAGGGCTGAGAGCCAAGAGTATGAGCTGATGAGATGAGTTGAGTGACTGCTTCCTTGAAAGGCTGTACTTGCTTTTATTTATTGTTGCACTTAGTTTCTATCTAATTTTGTTGTGAAATTTCTGGAAGATTCATATCTGTTTTACTTGAGCTCGAACTGATTTGACTTATACCACCGGATTTGAAAGAATGTTCACTCTTTACTAAAAGCTTTCGAAATGATCTGCATTATTATAGTTCGTCACTGCTTCTCAGTTCCTTATTTAATTCTGTTACTTGCTGAGTTAGATTTACTCATGTTATACCCTGCACTTTATGTGCAGATCCAGGTGTGTACGGTTCTGGCGGTCACTGAGTTCGTACGCGGGCTGATTATCGGAAACTTACTAGGTAGCTACCGGCGTCCGCAGTCCTGTATTGGTGACTTCACAATGATACAATTTCCTTAGTTGTGTCTTGAAACATTCATACACTGTACGTGTATAACACTGAATTACCTGCTCCTCCCACTTGAACAATGACTCACACACAATTTGAAAGTCCTTTGACCTGTATTCCGCTTTCAACTCTTTCTCATGCTTAGCTCTTATAGCTAACTCATACTGGTGAACAAACATCCTAAGAGTGTTTTGACGGGTAATATATCCATCAAAGAACGCATGCATCCCCTCACTTCTTTGCGTAGATAGCATACCAGCCCAAAAATATACATCAAGGTACACAGGAACCCATTTTTCCTTCTTAGAGTAAAACTTGTTGAACCAATTCCGTGTATGCAAATTATACTTTGCGATATATTTTGTCCATTTTCTCTCAAAAACTTCAACAGTAATGCTATCAAGGACCATGGATTTAAATTCTCCACGTGCAATTTTAGAAGGACGAACACCACTTAAGTAAAGAGGCAACTTTGAAAATATATGCCAAATACAATACCTATGTATTGTATGTGGCATCACTTCAGCAATGGCTGGCTTAATGCTCTGACACTGGTCAGTTATGATCGCATCTGGATGAACATTTCCCATGGCATCAAGCCAAGTTCTAAAAACCAATTTATAACTATTGATATCTTCATGAGACATGAGAGCACATCCCAGTAAGATGGACTGTCTATGGTGATTGATGCCAACAAATGTAGCACATGGCATATTATATCGATTCACAAGGTACGTCGTATCAAAGCATATCGCATCATGGAATTGCTCCCATACCACATTTCGCAGCCTACCAATATTATCAACGTCTATTGAATAGAAAAACTCCATATCCTTAACTTGCATTTCACGAAAAAAGTTGAGCAGTGACTGTGCGTCCCCTTCTTGCATTTCAAAATTCCTACTCTTTAAAATAAAATTTCTACAATCTTTTGGAGTGCAACCCAAATTTTGCAGTCCACCACGTTGAACCTCAGCAAGTCTAATATTCTTGGAGGGTGTAATGCCAGATCGATCGTGAGCTACAAGATCCCTCTTCAAAGAATAAAAAACGGACCTATGTCTAGTCATCAGGCGCGATATGGAAGGAAGAAAATCATGATTGTGATCGTGAACAACCTTAGAGACGCGCCAACAACCAGAATCATCCAAAACAACAGTGAGCCTAGCTTTACAATTGTTACTCTTGGTGGTAAACTTGGTTTTGCGAATCCTAGCCCTATCACAACAATAAGTTATGTACCTGGCAGTGTCACCACCCTTCTTGTTGGAATTTCGTTTGACGATGGAGAATCCTTTTAATCGTGCATGTTCTTTGTAGAATGCAAACAAATAATCGTTATCTCTAAATCGAATTCCAGAGATTGGACCTACAACCATATCATCTTCAGTGAATTCATTCTCCATTTCCTGATCAACATCACATAACTCTAACTCATTTCCTAAAAATTACTCCTCATTATCGTCAGCTTCTCCATAATATTCTTCATCGGGTTCTTCATTATCATCATCTAAGTGCACAGCATTGTTGAAACTGCCGTGAGAATCAACATCGACTCATTCGTATTCATTCAACAAACTGTCATACGATGTCATCCCTAAAGATCTGTACAACTCGTCCCTAACTCGATCAAACCTATTATCTTGGTTCATATTCATGGTTGTTGTATTTGTGTTATGTTCATTTGGATTCATATTTTCTTGCACCACCAAATTTTCTTGGTTTGAATCCATTTTTAGATAAGGAGGAAGTGTCCACTTTGACTTGGTTTGATAAGGAGGAAGTATTGACACTACTAAATCTGATGCTTCTTCCTCCTACTAAATCGTATACCGTATTTTTTTTTAAAGAAAATATAATAATTTGCTATACACATAAAATACAATGGAAATACAATATAATGTAAAGACTCTTCAGCTTCCTCCATATGTGAACATGGATGATTTTCACACAGCTCAATGCTTGGGAATAGGAAGAGCCTCTCCACATTTAATTTTCTGTTTTGGAGGAAAAATTGTAGGGCTAAATAATTAGGAGGTCGTTGATGTAATTTCACCCGTGTGGCCACAGTTGGGTCACAAAAGTGTGGTCGTTTAGCACCTCTCTTGTGTTATTACTAATAGATTATTAGATATTTGTAGTCGAAAATATAAAGAATTTTGGTCATATATGTATCTAATTATATTTTTTGAGCTATAGCTATAATAATCCTAATATCATTAAATATAAGTTATGTCTTCAACACCAACAACAAACTCGACATGTACGAATGCGAAACAGGAATACGAAAATACAACAATAGAACTAATTATGTCTTCAGGTGGTGAATTTATTTTAATTTGATGCTCCAATCAGAAGCGGAGACAGAATTTCAATCTTATGGGTTGTGAATTTTATAACGACGAATTCAAGTGTTAGTGATTCGATTCTAAATTTTATATTTGTACATATTTAATAAATTTTAAATATCAAATACACTATTTAAGCAAAAGCTATTGGGTTCAGCCAAACTCGTAACTTGGCTTGTGCCTCCGCCCCTGGTTCCAATGGAGATAACGTTCATCTTCATCAAATTATATTATAAGGAAAATTTACCTAGCTAATATAAACTTATTTATCATTTTTATTTAAGTTTGTACTTAATTATATTCTATATCCATATTTACCGTTTATGTATAAAACCAATAAAAAAAGATTCCTTAAATTTAGCATCACATTCTCTCTCGTTCACCAACCCCCTCCTAAAAATTAGAATATCATCTATTTTTCAGAAGATTTCACATCCCA